CGCGGCGATAAAATCGCGTGAACTCTGGCCGAGGCCTTGGGCTGAGTCATTAGGAAGAATGTTAGTAAGGAAAACAGTTTATACCAGTTCTGTGTAAGGTGCCCCTTGCAGATTAACTTTGCTTGGTAAAAAAATTCTTAAAAAAGTTTGAAGTACCATATCACACAAATTTTCTGCAAAGAAAGACGTGACGTCCCATGGTGACATCGCTGTAGCGGGGCCATTATTGCTTCAGAGCGGACGAAATCTGAATTCAATGTCACTTGCAGTTCGAAGGCGCATCTGATACACAGAGGCGCCCGTTTGGTCACGGTACGCTTACGATAGGCAGCTAGATTTCGCAACTTTTAGGTCCTTGCTTACGGTAGGTTACTCAGAGTTCAGTGCACACCGGCTAATCTACCTACAAAAATTCGTGAAATCGGGAGCCGTATCCAAACAGATGCCTCTTTACATGCGAAGATGCGCCTCGTCGAGATGAATCGAAGGTAGACCCGGGTTCAGATTTCGTCGACAATGAAGCGAGATCTGATCACGCTACGATGATGACACTTAACTCAGATTACTTGTCAGCCTTTTTTGCAGAGATTATGAGCGGAATTGTAATTGGAAAATAAATGCGAACATAGGATTGAAGTTTTTAGAAATGTCGGCATTGTTTCATTTTGTTCAAACTTTACATGTAATTGCCGTAATGACTATAGCTCAATAATTCACAAATTAAGCTCACCACAGATTGACGTTGCTCCACTATTGGATGGAACGCACCGAGCTAGAATTAGTTTTTTCCTTCATGTAAACGAACAGCATTATTTACGCTTACCATAACTTCCTTCCACCCATTATTTACTTTGATATAAAGTTGTTGCGTAGCCGTAGCAAATGCAAGAGTCCCAATGTGTACACGTGAAGAAAACAGTTCGTGTGTGCTCGGATAGACTCGCACAATTGCTAAAACCAAACATTATATTTTTCTTTCCCTCTTTCGATTCTAAAGCATTTTCAAACTGCTGTGCAAAATGCGACGCTAAACAGCTGAGCTTGAAGTGTGAATGCTGGAGAAAAATGGCTATATGTAAAATATGAAGAAATTCGTGAATGTCATGAGAGAATATTTTATCTATTAAATCTTCGATAGAACATACTTTTTCTCAAAGTCCTTTTGTTTGTAAATGACAAGCAGGCAAAAGAACACAAAAAGAAAAATGGTGATTCAGATTTCTGATGACATTCTGTTCAGCGCTATATGTATTATCTCAAGAAATTCTCAAATTTTAGCCGTACTAAAAAAGTTAGACTTAGTTTACTCATTTTGTCGCACATTTCGTCAAAGGCGGATTCGTCAAAAGTGATTGGCACTTACCGTCCCCTCCTGCATACGGCACCTGTTGTCCCGCTCCTGGAGCTCCCGCCGGTCCAGGTGGCCCAGGTGGTCCAGCTGGTCCTTGCGGTCCTGGCACTCCTCGGTCTCCCTTCAGATAAACATTGAAAGATCCAAGAACTGTTGGGACTGAAGATTACTGAATATTAGCCTACTCTATCTCCTTTCTCTCCTCGAGGCCCTTGGCGCGATGGCTCGCGTTCATACTGCGGTAACACATTTTCCACAGGAGCTGGTTGAAAGACGGTAGTGGTTGTGTGGACGCACTCTCCCTTTTCTCCCTAATAATCGAAATTAGGCAAGCCATTACGAAACAGATTCTACCTTGAGTAAAGGATGCCTGACGATTAGCTCAATGTCTCTGTCAGACAAACCCTGGAAATCACGACCATCTCTTCCTGGATAACCGGTTTCACCTCGCGGACCTAAAATAATCAAACTAATCTGGAAGAAGAAAATTCGAGACAAATACCTTGAATTCCCTGCGGTCCCGGAGGTCCAGGTGGGCCTTGTGGTCCCGGTGGACCGGGCATAGGCTGCATTTCCCCAAATTGTGATGTTTGAACGTAGCCAGGTTCCCCTGGTGGTCCAGGAGGGCCAGGTGGACCTTAATTGATTTTTAGAAAAAACTAGCATGATTCAAAAATTTGTGGACTAGTACCTTCGATACCCTGAGGTCCTTGAGGTCCAATGGGACCACTGGGACCTGGTAAACCATCCCGACATTGTTGCATGCACTAAAGTTTGATTATCTCAGAGTGGTGGTAGGCAGTCTTTCACCTACCACTCCTGGTGGTCCCGGCTCTCCTCGTTCTCCTTTTGGTCCTTGTTGAATGGTCTCTGCAAAGAAACGATTAATTTTCTGTCATCAAGAGAGTTGTGGACTCTAAGAGTCCTCTATATCACTCTGGCACCCAGTAAATGTGTCTCGAGATATTCCGACTTTTCCATGTTGGATACAAGCATGGTGGTCTAGCTTGAACTTGGATATGTCTGAGTCAATGGTAATAACCTAGAATTGTTGCATGCACACAACACATGTGGATTTTCGACTAAAGTGCTCGGTGCTGTTCATGCCAAAGTGACCTATGGGTGGTGATGGACCGTGTCGGTGAAAAGGTAGAAGAAGACTATCGCCGAATGCATA